ATCACATCCTACACAAACCAATCTTGAACATATTGGAATCAAGAGCATTATTAGTCATCAAATGCAATCTTTACCCGCGGAAACAATCAAGGCGATCACGACAGATCCAAGTTTCCAATCAGCTCTGGCGACTGCTCTATCTTCCATCATTGGGGGCGATTTAAAGATTGATAATGTGACAAGAAATGAAGCCGAGAAGAGCCCTTAAAAGACCATCGAAGGAAGTGCCCTATATTTTATTTTATGTACATACCCAATACATTAATATGTGGGTTTAGTTTTACTAGTTTCCTAGTTCATCTATATTTGGTTGTTTAATCATCATATTAATCTGTTGTTGGAGTTTATGGAACTAATGTGTACATATGAAAATTTAGTACGAATAAATGATACTTGAAAAACCTTATAAATATACACGTTAGGCTGTATTTCCTTTCATTAATTGTTAGGCACTTACTTGACCTACTAAAGCTCAACTCTCCTCTCTGGAAGGGGAAAAAAAGGTTCATAAGTCTCGAAATTGTGATCTCATGTGCTGAGTTCGAGTGTCAATATCGGAAGAAGGACTAATTTACTTATCTGCCGGAAGGACAGAACCTCACGGCTAGAGTTTCAGATGTTAATTAGGGACCTACAACTAGCGGACCTAAACGGGGTTATTCTATGAAAATGAGTCGTTTATGCCCGTTTATTAAACAGGTTTTGACACAATTAAACGATGTTTGGCGATGTTTTCGCCTTCTAAGGTTTACCGATTTTGTCTAAAATCAAAAAAAAATTATTAAAAGGTAAATATCATTATAAAAATGGTCAATTGTAAAAATAACCAAAAAAATAATAATTAAAAATATAACAAAAATTAGCATATGTGGCAAAAACTCTACCATTAAATTTAGGTTAAATGGTTAGAGATTTTGTTATAATTTTTTTGATGGTTATGTAATGCAATTTCCCTTATAAAAATGAAAGATTTTACAAAAAAAAAAAGCAAAATCTTATTTCTATGCTACCTTGCCAAAAACAAGATTAAAAAAAGAGTACAAGATTTGGTTTTGGGAAACCTTTGTCATTTGAAAATGTTGAGTTGAATCAAGAGTTGATTACACCTAGGGACATTTTATTGGTAAAGTATTACACTTTGAGACACTTTTGTTTTTGTAGGCACTTTGTTGGGTTATTGTGTATACTTTGGACCAAAATACCCTTAATGATCAATTACTACTGATCGTTGGATG